AGGACTGTGGGGTCCTTGGTGCTCTCTGAAATTTGTATTTTTCTTGCAGACATTTCATGACCCAACTAGGTAACATTATCAGTGCTAGAAAGGAGGGGATTACAGGAGGAGGAGGAGGAGAGGGAGAAAGAGAATAGAGGGGTCCTTGGTGCTCTCCGAACTTGGTTGTTGTCTTGCAAACGTTTCATGACCCAACTAGGTAACATTATCAGTGCTAGAAGGAGGGGGGCTTGCAGGGAGGAGAGGGGAGGAGGGGGAAGAGAAGAGGGGGTCAATAAATCAATTGCTGAAGTCCAACCATGATGACTGAAGATTTCTGGGAGCCGAAGTCCAGTCATATCGGCTGGAAAACTCTGAGAACTGAAGTCCACATGTCTTAAAAGTTGCCAAATCTGTGAGCAGCTGCTGTCAATCACCCCAATCTCAGCATGCCAATTACAAGCGACACTTTTCCCACCCAGCCAACGCCAGCCAGTGAAGGTAGGCCAACCAAAAGGTGAAGAAGACTTGAAGACTCCTAGTCTTAGCTGTCTAAATTTTAGTATAGGAGAGACATGGGGGATTTGGGGTGGGGGTGGGGCAAGCTGAAGCCCACCCAAATCCTCTATGCATTTGACCCACAACGGTGACAATCCATCCCACCCTCCAAACCCTGGCAGGATGCCCAGTTCTCAGCAGATAAAAAGTATTTTCCCCGTAAAGTATCGATCCCACCCCTCAGCCTCTGGACTCCTCACCTGTCACTTTTGAAAATCAGTGGGCTGTGTAATTGTGTAACAACCCAATTGGGCATTTTTGCCCAGTCAAGTGTGACCTCTCTTTGTGTGTGTGTTTTTTGTGGTTTCTCAGAAACCGGGCGGGCCGATAAATCGTATTTTCCGCCAGCGAACACAACCATGTTTTCTTTCGTTTGCTCCACTCGAGAACACCAAAGCATAAAACTTTGACCTAACAGATTAATACAGTTGGAAGGGACCATGGAGGTCATCTAATCCAGCCCCCTGCTCAAGCCGGAGACCCTTATAGAATCATAGAATAATAAAGAGTTGGAAGGGACCCCAAAGGTCATCTAATCCAGCCCCCTGCTCGAGTGGGAGAACCATACAGAATCATAGAACAACTGGGTTGGAAGAATCTCAGAGGTCATCTAGTCCAACCCCTGCTCAAGGAGGAGACGGAGACCCCATTGACTTTGGTTATAGGAAGCCGGCTGGGAAGATCACGTGACCCCCCCCCCCCGGATGCTACATCCGTCGTTAAGTAGAGGTACTCCACAACCTACGACCACAACAGAACCCAAAGTTTCCGTTGCTAATTGAGACAGTTGTTCAGTGAGTTTTGACCTATTTTATGACCTTTGTTGCCACATTTGTTAAGGGAATCACTACAGTTGTGAAGTTAGTCACACGGTCGCTAAGTGAATCTTCAGTACCGTCGTAACTTGAATCGGTCACTAAACGAACGGCTGTTAAGTCGAGGTTCTGAATTTGCCTCTTCTTTCTAATTTTATTTTTGATTCCCTTTCAAATGGGGATGTGATGAGCAAATGCAGGAAGGATTTGTGGGTTTGGATGGTTAGAAAAACTCCGGAGAAAAGCAAGGAGGGAGCTCGCTCTGTTGACCAGGGACGGAATTTTGGAATTAAGATTTATATTTGCTGCAAAGGAAATGAGAATTCCTTGTCTTTCTTTTGAATTTTTCTTTCTGCATTCTGTTTTTTTTTTTTTTTTTTTTGTGGGTCTTGGTGAAGTGAAACCTTTCTTTCTTCCTTTCTTTTTCTTCCTTCCTTCCCTCCCTCCATCCCTTTTTCTTTCTCTTTCCTTCCTTCCTTTCCCCGCTACTTTCCCCTTCCTTCTTTTTTTCTTCCTCCCTCCCTCCCTCCCTCTTTCTTTCTTTCATTCTTTCGATCTTTCGTTCTTTCTTCCTTTTCTCTCTCTCCCTCTCTTTCTTATTTCTTCTTCATCCCTTTGCTTTTCCCTTTCTCCTTTCCCTTTTTCTTTCTTCTTTCTTCTTTCTTTCTTTCTTTCTTTCTTTCTTTCTTTTTTTCTTTCTTTCTTTCTCCACCTTTACCATCAAAAGTGTTTCCCTCCAGAGGGCGGAAAAAAACAGAAGATTCCAGCAGTTGTGGTCCAAAGGACATTTTATTATGCTATTCGGAACGTATCAAAACGAGAGGTAAAAAAAAAAAATAATAAAAAAAATCTCGTGGAATTTGTAAGATGCAGGCGAAGTCTTCGAAAGCAAAGCTGTCAGAGATTTCGGGAGTGGAAGGGATATTTTCCCCCTCTTCTGCTTCGGTCTGTATCTTTTTCCAATTAGCCGCCAAAAATGTTCTTGATGAATCTAGTGATGAATCTAAATCTGGTGGTCTGGTTCATCTGAATCAAGAAGATTTCATGAAATCAACTGAGGGAATTTCCATTCAGGCCCGCTCTTAAAATATCTATAGAGCAGAGTTTCCCTAAGTCGGCCATTTTAAGACACGTGGACTTCAACTCCCAGAATTCATGCCAGCTGGGGGATTCTGGGAATTGAAGTCCACCTGTCTTCAGCTTTGAAAAACACTGATCTAAACACCTCCAGATTGATATACTTACATAAATATTTGTTTAGTTTAATCTGTGTTTAAATTTAATTTCACGTGTTTGTGTTATAACACATTTTTTGAAGAAACCACTGAGGCAAGCTTTGATCGAGCCATCAATCATGGTTTGCAAAGCACAGAAGCTGGATTGACAGTGTCCTGAACGCACCATTGTTTCGCAAAGATATGATGGCTTAATGCAATGAGGTGCCTTGAAGATGATAAAATGCCAATTACACAAAGAATTTTGAGTAGATTTTAGGCAATTGCAACACAATTATATTCTCCCAATAAATGTGTTGTGTTGTGTTCTATTCTAGGCTAGGCTAGGCTAGGCTTAAGTAATATACAGGTACTCCTCGACTTATGACCACAACTGAGCCCAAAATTTCTGCTGTTAAGTGAGACATTTATTAAGTGAATTTTGCCCCATTTTACGACTTTTCTTCCCACATTTGATGAGTGAATCACTCCAGTTGTTCAATTAGTAACCCCGTTGTTAAGTGAATCCATCTCCCCCACTGACTTTGCCCGTCAGAAGGTAGTAAAAGGGGATCACGTGACCCCCGGGAGACTGCAACCGTCATAAATATGAATCGGTTGCCAAAAGGTCTTAATTTGGATCATACGGCCGTGGGGATGCTGCCACGGTCGTTAAGTGTGAAAAGCGGTCCTAAGTCACTTTTTCAGGGCTGTCGTAACTTTGAATGGTCACTAAGTGAAACGTCCTAAATCGAGGACTGCCTGGGATGCCTTCCTAATTTAAGGAAAAGGAATTAGAAACAAAAATTACCTGCTGACTAATGTCCTCACACCGGACGTTAGAAATCGGGGGCTGTTGTTGCGCCGAATAGATTCCGGAACAATCTTTATCCAGCTGTCCAAGGAAATAGGAGGAGGGTCAGCCATGGAGAACAGGCAAAGGTTGCACTTCACAGAGAGAGAGAGGGGGGGTCTCTATGGGGGAGCCACACCCAGAGGGCAGGAAAAGAGGCAAGATGGCCACTGTGGGGATTCCGAGCCCCTAAGGGAAGGCCCTCTTCCTGGTCAGGGGCCACCACACCCCACAAGCAGCAAGGGACCCTACTTGGCAGAGACCCCACCCACTTACCCAGAGGAGTCAATTCAAGAGGGCCTCAGCTGGACCCCCAGCTCCTCCACTCCTGAGGACCTTCAGAACAGAAGGAGGGAGTTGGGAGGGACCTTGGAGGTCCTCTAGTCCAACCCCCTGCTCAAGCAGGAGACCCTCTACTATGAGATGTCTAATCACTTCCTGAAAGCCTCCACTGATGGAGCAGGAACTCAAGCAGGAGACCCTAGGCCAGGGTTTTCTCAACCTTGGTAGCTTGAAGATGGGTGGACTTCAACTCCCAGGGCTGGGGGATTCTGGGAGTTGAAGCCCACCCATCTGCAAGCTTCCAAGATTGAGAAACACTGCCCTCTGCCATTTCAGACGAATGGCTGTCCAGTGTCTTCTTGGAGGCCTCCAGTGATGGAGCGCCCACAACTTGGTGGCAAGTCGTTCCACCGATTAATTGGCCTCCCTGTCAGGGAATTTCTCCTTGGTTCTAGATTAGTTCACATCCGCTACTTGCCCTGCCCTTCTGGTGCTTTGGAGAATAGTTGAGGCCCCCTCCTCTTTGTAGGAGGCCCTCAAATATCGGAAGATGCTCTCATGTCACCCCTAGTCCTTCTTTTCACTAAATTAGCCATCCCCAATTCCTTCTTCAATGTGCTTTAGCCCCCTAGTCCTCTTGGTTGCTCTTTTCTGCACTCTTTCCAGAGTCTCCGCGTTTTTTTTTTATACTTTGGCAATCACAACTAGAAGGACAATTGCAGACAGGGACCAGGGGTGGTCCAGCTTTGAGACCCCCACGATGTGCTTCGAACTTTGAAGTGGGCAAGATGTCCACCAACCCCGAGGAAAGCAGCCAATGAAAAAAAGCCGAGGATGCCCTAGAGAAGCTCACCCCATCTTCTTTGAAATTGCACTGGGACAGGTTCTGCCCTTGCGAGGAGGGACACACCGTCTCCTTGACGGAGAACTTCAGCGTCTGGGCGGTTTTGCTGTTGGGGTCCTGCACGAAGCAAAAGAGAGACAGAAAAAGGAGACAGATTAAACCCCAGGGGATTTCCCCAAGCCCCCATTCTTGCTCCACAAAAGCCTCAGCCTTGGGAAATCCCAGCAGCAACTTTAAATCTTCACTCCTTCCTCCAAACAAGCAGCTTTCTCAGCAGAAAGTGGATTTGCCCGGGAAATAAGGCAAATTGTTCCACGCAATGAAAAAAAAGAGCCTTTGCAGCAATTCTGTGACTGCCATTTTTTAATTAAAAGAGCCTGTAGTACAGTGGACTAAAGCACTGTTATTAACATCTGCTGCTTGCAATTACTGCAAGTTCAAATCTCCCCAGGCTCAAGGTTGACTCAGCCTTCCATCCTTTCTAAGGTAGATGAAATGAGGACCCAGATTGTGGGGGCATAAGATGACTTTGTATAAAATATACAAAAGAATGAAGGCTATTGCTTAACGCATTGTAAGCCGCCCTGAGTCTCCGGAGAAAGGCGGCATATAAATTAAAAAAGCAAAAGCAAAGCAAAGCAAAAGCAAATTGCAATCTCCGGTATGAATTTCTCCACAATTTTGCATTATAAAAGTCCTTCTATATTGTTTTATATTATTTCTAAACGACATAAATCAATACAGTGGTGGCCTTTTGGGTCATTTGGGAGGAAAGGAAAGGGAAGGGAAGGGAAGGGAAGATGGAAGGAGGAAAGGGGAGGGAAGGAAAGATGGAGAGAGGAAAGGAAAGGTGGAGGGAGGAAAGAGAAGAGAAGGGAAGGGAAGGGAAGAGGGAGGGAAGGGAAGGGAAGGAAAGAGGAAGGAGGGGAGGAAAGGAAAGGAAAGGAAAGGAAAGGGAAGGAAAGGGAAGGGAAGGAAAGAGGAAGGAGGGAAGGAAAGGAAAGGAAAGGAAAGGAAAGGAAAGGAAAGGAAAGGAAAGGAAAGGAAAGGAAAGGAAAGAAGGAAAGGAAAGGAAAAGGAAAGGAAAGGAAAGGAAAGAAGGAAAGAAGGAAAGGAAAAGGAAAGGAAAGGAAAGAAAGAAGGAAAGGAAAGGAAAGGAAAGGAAAAGGAAAGGAAAGAAGGAATGAAGGAAAGGAAAGGAAAGAAGGAAAGAAGGAAAGGAAGGGAAAGGAAAGGAAAGGAAAGAAGGAAAGGAAAGGAAAAGGAAAGGAAAGGAAAGGAAAGAAGGAAAGGAAAGGAAAGGAAAGGAAAGAGGAAGGAGGGAAGGAAGGAATGAAGGAAAGGAAAGGAAAGAAGGAAAGGAAAGGAAAGGAAAGAAGGAAAGGAAAGGAAAGGAAAGGAAAGGAAAAGGAAATTCTGCCCCACTGATATTAAAAGGATGCAAAGACCCCCAGGGCAGGAGAAACCCAATGGCTGGTGGGGAGCAGTAGAAGCCTTGGGATCCCACCACCCCTCCTTCCCATGGGGCCAGGAGCCCCCCCCCCAATCCCCCAAGACTTACCCAGTTTGGCTGGGGTTCAGCCTCCAGCAGGCGGAAGACAAACTGCGAGGGTTTCTGCTGGTTGTAGAGGTCAACGGCCAAGGCGATGGCCTGCTCGTAGGTCAGGACTTGTGTTTGGGGGGCTGCGGCAGCCAAGCCCAGGAGCAGCAGGACAGCCCAAGCAGTGGTCATGTTGCTCAGATGTCTTCTCCACGGGGGAAACTGAGTCTTGCTGGAGATGCCACTCGGGGCTGCCCTATTTATAGCCCGTCTCTTCCTCTCCAACAGGTGGCTTCCACCCATCACCACCACCTGCCCCCCCCTTACTTCAGGAAATGTGGGTTTGGGGTCCAACCGACCAGGGAGGGGGGAGAAGACGGTTGGAGGGCTGGAGGAGCCCTGTCGAAATCCCTCTTGTGCAACACAGCATTTGGGGAAGCTCCCGGGGGTCTCTGGGTTAGGAGGGACCGGAGGGATGAGGGGGGTCTCTCTTTTAGGGGGGACCCCACCGAATGGGGCAGCCAAGCAGCCCATCAGTTGGAAGAAGCTGAGTTGGGGGTTTAGATCAGGCTTATGGTTTCTGTTGTGCTTGTTTGAAGTTTATTTTCTTTGGATTAATTTCTCTCATTCTCTCTCTCTCTCATCTATATCTATCAATCTATCTATCATCTATCTATCTATCTATCTATCTATCTATCCATCTATCTATCCATCTTTTCTTTATTTGTATCCCATACTTCAACTTCGATAATCCCCCAGCCAGCTATGCTTTTAAGAGCAGGGGACTTCCATTCCCATAATGGCAAACCCCAATAAAGGTGTACAGATCGTCCTTGGCTTATGATCACAATTCAGCGCAAAATTTCTGTTGCTAAGTGAGACATTTGTTAAGTGCGTTTTGCCCCATTTTACAACTTTTCTGGCCACTGTTGTTAAGTGAATCCCTGCAGTTATTAAGTTAGTCAGATGGTTGTTAAGTGAATCCGGCTTCCCCATAGACAAGTTACAAAAGGGGTTCATGTCCGCCCAGGACTTTGGAACCGTCATAACATTGAGTCAGTTGCCATGCGTCTGAATTTTGATCACAAATACCATGGGGATGCTGCAATGGTCGGAAGTGTGAAGAAGGGTCATAAGAACTATTTTTCAATATAAACTTGGATGAATGGAAGACGATATGGAATAGAAACTATAAATTAACAAAAGCGGCAACATACAAAGAAAATCAATATAAGATGTTATATAGATGGCACTTAGCGCCCATGAGATTAGCAAAAATCTATCCAAATGTAAGCCCCAAATATTGGAAGTGTGGATGTCACCAAGGTACCTTCTTTCATATGTGGTGGTCCTGTCCCAAAGCGATGAAGTATTGAAGAAAAATTCAAAATTGGCTACAAGAATCAACTAATGAAAAAATTGAATTGATACCTGAAACATTTCTCCTGGGAGTACTAAAGACGAAATACAGGGGGGAAAAAACGATATTTAATCATACATATTCTCACCGCAGCAAGAATAGCCTATGCCCAATATTGGAAAGGAAAGGACACACCACCAGAGGAATATATTATTCAGAAGGTTCTAGAATGTGCCGAAATGAACAAATTTACGTTAGAATTAAATGAGAAAGAAGACTCAGAATATTATACGGTATGGGATGATTGTACAGGTGGATTGACAATCGAATAAAGAATAGATTAAAGTTAATATAAATTTTAAGAATCATATGTAAATTACATTATATTACGATGAAATGTAAAAGAAGAATCAATCCAACCTGTGTAGAAAAACAACACTGTCTGACTGATTGTATTATATTGTATTATAATAAATTTCAATTAAATTTTTTTTTTTAAAAAAAGAACTATTTTTCAGTGCCCTTGTAACTTTGAACATTCACTAAAGAACTTCTGTTTAGTTTAGTTTATTGTCAACTCACCTCGTACAAGGAAATTAAATGCCATCTTCAGTGTACATTAAACTATAAAAATAAAACACAAACACACATCCTTCGTATTCTATACAATGGAATCGAAAAACCCTGATTTGCATTTAATATTGCACTATATAGTAGAATTCAATATAGTTTTACTGCCCTGGGTTAGAAGCTGTTTTTTCAGCCTATTTGTCCTTGTTTCTATTGTCCTGTACCGACTGCCAGATGGTAATAGTTCAAAAAAAAAAAGGGTGAGATCCAAGATGAGATGGATCTTTAAGGACGTTTTTAACTTTCTTAAGGCAGCGGGAGTTATAAAGCTCTTCCAAAGAGGGGAGGGGGCAATCAATGATCCTCTGGGCAATGGAGTTGACCCTCTGGAGATGTCTTGGAAGGGACCTTGGAGGTCATCTAATCCAACCCTCTGCTCTAATAGGAAGCCCTACGCTATTTCAGTCCAATCTCTTCTTCAAAAGTGGGGTGCCCCAAGGCTCTGTCTTAGGCCCCCTATTCTTCAACACCTTCGTGAAGGATTTACAGGAGGGGGGGAGGCTAGAAGGGGAACTCATCAAACTGGCAGGCCAAACCCACTCACATTGCACGAATGCCGGTGTTGGGTGTGTAAAGAGAATGACCAGGCTGGTCTACCACCCGAGCGGTGAATGACACAAGTCTAACAACCTCCACAGCACCTGGAGAGGAAACGGTTTGAGGGTAGGTGGGTTTTTCGGGTGGTGGGATCTGGAGGTCTTTCTCTTTCAGGAAAGAAATTGGGTAAGGCTTCACCACAGGCTCACGCCCCACCGTTGCCTGACTTGACACTTATTTGAGGAACCTCTTCAGATGCCTCCTGGCCGATGTTAGGTCCAACAGTTAGGAAGTGGTTCCTCCAGCAGCTTCAAACTATTGTGGGGGTTGAGAGATGGATGTTTTCAACATTCCAGGGAGATCTCAAGATGCCCCCCTCAAAATTTGGGGGGGTTGAGTAGAGCATGATTGTCCCTAAGGGTCCCTTCCCAAAATATTGTCTAATCCAACCACAGATTCTGCCTGGAGCTGATTAAATCGATGGTTTCGTTATTCTTACCATTCTTCAGGGGTCTGCGAGTGAAAAGGATAAACTGGATTTTCACTTGTGGTCCTCTGAAGAGATCTTATTTCAAGAAAGTCCAGAAGTTACACCCTGAAATTTAAGGGGTGACCTGCCCTTCTTGGAGTTAAATACACTTAAATTTTATTTTATTCGTTATTCTCGAAAGATTTAGAAGTCTCTTCAAATGAAGCTAACTTATACTGGTGTCCAGTCCGATCCCGGTCAATTTGATGTTAAAAATGAATATTGATAATAATGACAAATGAGCTATCTAGCAAATTGGATGAATTCTCTATGCTAGCTGGGGGATTCTGGGAGCCGAAGTCCATTTTAAAATTGCTAAAGCAGAGAAACACTGCCTTGCTGCAAAAGATTAAGGAGTTTTTTTACCAGGTGCAACCAGGCAGGTAAGTCACAAGAGAAATATGAAGAATAAATTAATAAATCTTGAAAAACTGGAAAGGATCGTCGGAATTTTCCTGCAGGGCAGCGAATAGGTTGGAAAACTGATGAAAATCAGGGCTCAGCTTTTTAACTGGTCAACCAATTATTTTTACCTTGCCTGCTTTAAACCATTTAACTCTGTCCAAGGCCCACATTCCCAAATAAGATCAGGAAATAATATTATATGCCTTTGACTTTTTAAATAAGCTTTACTACTCTCAAGCCAAAGGAAAGCAAAGAATTTCAGTCAATAAATGGCTGATTTCTGATGCATTAATAAAAAACAAAAAAGTGAATTTCCCCTTCCCAGATCAGCAAACCTCTTTTTCCGTCCCATTGATTGACGGATACATTCATTGGTTAGGTTTATACAGGCAGTCCTCAACTTATGACCATAATGGTGTCCAATATTTCTGCTGCTGAGTGAGTTTTGTCCCATTGTGCAACCCTTCTGGCCATAACATAGTTGTTAAGTGAATCTTTGCAGTTGTTCGTTAACACGGTTGTTAAGCGAATCTCGCTTCCTCCTTGACTTGGCTTGTCAGAAGGTCGCAAAAGGGGATTGTGTGACCTCCTGGGACATTGCCGTCATAAATGCAAGTCAGTTGCCAAGAGTCTGAATTCTGATCACGTGACTGTAGGGAACATGCAACGGTCGTAAATGTGAAAATTGGTCATAAGTCGCTTCATTCGAATGTCGTTGTAACTTCAAACCGTCACTAAATGAACTGTTGTACCTATAACCACCATAGGCAGCTTACAAGAAAACAAATCAAAAAACCATTTCAAGCATATTTATATGTTTCTTTATTTATTGGTTCGATTTATATGCATCCCTTTTCTGGAGACTTAGGCACAAGGCATTAAGCAATAGCCTTCATACTTTTGTATATACCTGCTTAGTAGGGCTTTCGGGGCCCCCCAAGCGGTGTTCTTTTTTATACAAAATAATCTTATTGCCCCCACAAACCGGGTCCTCATTTTACCTGCCTCGGAAGGATGGAAGGCTGAGTCAACCTTGAGCCTGGTGAGATTTGAACTTGCAGTAATTGCAGGCAGCTGGTGCTACTTAACAGTGCTTTAGTCTGCTGCACCACCAAGGCTCTTTTTGTTTCCTAAATATATATGCTCCCAATTGTCTGCTAAGCGACTTTGAATGGCTCACAAGTTAAAATAATCTTCAAACATTAAAACATTCAACATAAAAAGTAAAAAATATTAAAATTAAACAAAGACTAGATAAAATAGGTGGAGATGCCTCCAGGATGAAAACAAGAGGCGGTGAATTCTGGGAGACTTTTGGCCAGGAGACGGTGAGTTCTAGTTCCACGTTAGGCACAAAAGCATGTTGGGGTACTTTGGGCCAATCATCAGGCAATGGTGAGTTCTAGTCCCGCCTGAGGCATGAGAGCTGTTTGGATAACTTTGGGCCAATCACCAGGAGATAGAGTAGAATAGAGCTAGAAGCAGGGAAGAAATCCAGCAGGTTCTGGCGAACCGGTAGCGGAAATTTTGAGCAGTTTGGAGAACCAGCAAATACCACCTTTGGCTGGCCCCAGAGTGGGGTGGGAATGGAAATTTTGCAATATCCTTCCCCCAAGAGTGGGGGGGAATGGGGATTTTGCAGTATCCTTCCCCTGCCACACCCACCAAGCCACACCCACAGAATTGGTAGTAAAAAAATTTGGATTTCACCACTGGCTGGAAGGGACCTCA